ACTGGATTGTCTGTGCACTGCTGTATTGCTCTCCCAGCAGATGTCAGGGTGACTGAAGTCCCCCATTAGAACCAGGGCCTGTGTTCTGGAAACTTCAGTTAATTGTCCGAAGAAAGCCTCGTCTACCTCATCCTCCTGGTCCAGTGGTCTATAGGACATGCCCACCACGACATCACCCTTGTTGCTCTCACTTCTAATCTTAACCCAGAGAGACTCAACAGGCTTTTCTCTAGTTTCATACTGCAGTTCTGAGCAATCATACCACTCTCTTACATACAGTGCAACTCATCCACCTTTCCTCCCCTGCCTGTCCTTCCTGAACAGTTTCTACCCATCCATGACAGTGCTACAGTCATGTGAGCTACCCCAGCAAGTCTCTGTTATTCCAATCACATCAGTTCTTTGACTGTGCCAGGACTTCCAATTCTTCCTGCTTGTTTCCCAGGCTTCTTGCATTCTTGTACATGCACCTAAGATAGCTAGCCGATTGCCCTGCTTTCTCAGTATGAATCAGGAGGCCCCCCGCCCGTTGCACCCTCTTCCTTGCGTTTCCTCCCGGTATCCCAATTCCCCACTTACCTCAGGGTTTAGGTCACTGTCCCCTGGCGAACCTAGTTTAAAGCTCTCCTCACTAGGTTAGGAAGCCTGCCTGCGAAGATACTCTTCCCTCTCTTCATTAGGTGGATCCTATCTCTTTCTAGCAATCCTTCTTCACGATTGAGGAATCCAAAGCCCTCTCTCCAACTCCATCTGCGTAACCATGCATTTACCGCCACAATTCGATGGTCCCTACCTGGGCCTTTTCCTTCAACAGGGAAGATGGATGAGAACACAACTTGCACCTCCAAATCTTTTATCTTTCTTCCCAGAGCCACGTAGTCTGCAGTGACCCACTCAAGGTCATTCTTGGCAGTGTCACTGGTGCCCATATAGAGAAGTAGGAAGGGGTAGCAGTCCGAGGGCTTGATCAGTCTCGGTAGACGCTCCATCATATCCTGAATTCTAGCTCCAGGCAAGCAGCACACTTCTCAAGTCTCTCAGTCTGGTCGGCAGATGGACGACTCTGTCCCCTTTAGGAGGGAGTCCCCGACCACCACCACCCACCTCCTCCTCTTGGGAGTGGTGGTTGTGGAACCCGCATCCCTAGGACAATGCATCTCATGCCTTCTGGTCGATGGGGTCTCCTTTTGATCCTTTCCCCCAGATGGCTCTTCCAAATCATTAGCTGCAGTACTACCTGTGCAGAGCGCCTGAAAATGGTTTCTTACCACTGTCTGCATAGGGGGTACATGGGTTCTCCTCATTCTTCTTCTGGAGGTCACATGCTGACAATTTTCTTCCGCATTCTGCGCTGCCCTCTCTGATTCTTCAACATGTTGTGCCTCCAGAACCAAACGCTGACTTCTGTCCAGAAAGTCTTCATTTTCTCTGATGTAACGCAAGGTTGATACTTGTGTCTCTAGTCCTTTAACCTTCTTTTCCAATATGGAGACCAGTTTGCACTTTGTACAGATGAAGTCACTTCTATCCTCTGGGAGAAAGACAAACATGACATCCTGTACAGATCACAACAGCTGATCAGCTGTTGAGACTTTGGAAAAAAAGTGGTTGTTTATCCATAGTTTGAAAATTATTACAATATTTTTCGTCCATTCATAAAACTCAAAAACTATTTCCTATTAAGATTTCAAACTTGTTTATACATTAATCCTCAATTGCAACTGTGGCAATGGACTAACTTTACCAAGGAAGGAAGGAAAATCTTTTTAGTTATTAAAAGCTGATTTTTATGGTCTCTAGTACCATATAGTATCTAACAAAACTTCCATGAGATGTCTAATGAGTCCTGGAAGATAAGCAGCCCTGTAATAGGAGCAATCATATATGTATAGTTACGAGTGAGAAGATATTTATGTAAATTAAGTTCTGTAACTCACAGGAAAAAACCCTAACACACATATCTTACAATATACAAAATTTTCCATTTAGTCTTGCCTTGTATACAGTCATATCAAATATAAGACTACCTGGAGTCAATCTAAAAATAATATTTACATGTAATAATCATGCAAACACATATGAAGATTAGGATAGCACAGTCTCCCCAAAAGGTAGCTCAGCAATAACCATGCCCCTCAGTGAGCCTCATAAATCATCAGGCAATGCTCCCCAGAACAAGTTATATCAGCCTTGTTGTTCAAGTAAACTGATCTCAGACAAACAGTTTCCACAGGCGGGTCATTAAGGGTAAAAAACATTAACAGAAATAGTAACACAAACTCAGTTGTGCACATTCTGTAAAGCAATTTTTACAAAACCTTGTACTCTGAAAAAAGATCCTTTCTTACTATCATGAAAGTGTCAACAGTGGCAAAAATGCAACAAAGAGAGCATTATAAGACAGGAGGAATTACAAATCAAAGAAAGGTGTTAGCAGTTATTTCTCCAGGTAAACAGGCTCTAAGTTCTAATTTTCAGCCTGTTGGACCCTCTTTTTCATGAACATTCTGATTTCATTGGGGTAATAGAAACACAGTTTTGACCACCACAAGCCACAGAGGTTCTCATAAAATACAGGAGATCTTATTTATTCCAAAGTTTAGCAATTCTAATTTTATCCAAGAATTTCTGTTGTCTCTCAAAAGGAGCGGGAAGTAATCAGGAAAAGTTTATTTGCATGTACAGTACTGTGGTACTTGAGCTGATTGTAACATCTGCAATGCTTTCACATCATAAACTAATTTTCATGCCAGCAACCTCAATGCACCTACTATATAAAATGGAGCTTATGGAAATCTAGGCTTAATAAATTTAACTTTCCATACTGTAATTCCACTGATGTCAAAGTTAAGCACATGTATAAGTCTTTGCAGAATCTGGGCCCTAATCAGTAAGCAATGGGAATTACTGCAGTGCAATGGATTGTTCATTGAGATCACACTGGCTCCCCATGAATAAATGATATCTGTACTGACGTATGGGCAAAACCATAATGCTAAGATTCTTCCATTCTGAACAGCAAGATTTCTAGCGCAAATATGAGGACAATATAAGCAAACTGGAAAACAGGATTCAGTCATGATTCTTCATGAGATTAATAGGGTTAAACTGAGCTCTGTATCTGATAGTATCATGTCATAAATAGAAACAATGAATGTAAAATAGCACTTTAAAAAAGTCTCACCTGTAAGAGAATTTTTTAAAAATTCAATACACCAGACAACAGTCCAGAATAAGAATTAAAGGTGTGGCCTATGCTGAGTCACTCTTTTTGCTCAGAAGAGAAACACACACAAATAACATTTTTAAAAATCTATTTTTTTTTATTTTTCTTTTCATGAAAAGGGTCTGTTTGTATAATTCATGCCAACCTTAGGCACTGAGGAGACTTTTTAAAGTTCACTAACTGAAATAAAAAATTAATACTACTTTAATTATTGCATACAATTTAATATACTATCACAGTTTTTGGATTAATCATTCTGCTGGAAGAAGCTATTAGCTCTTTATGCCAGAAAATATTGATATTACGTAATTACTCTGAAATGCAATAACAAAAACCAGTTTTTAAAATCTGTGAGTTACAGTTCATGTTATGCTCCATATTATTAAATGTTTATGCATGTAATCTACTCTGCTGCCCACACATTTTTAATCAGATACTTTCTGCTTTTATAATAATCACCCAATTTAAGTGAAAATTATAGTTATAGATGTATGAAGTTGTAAACTGCCTCAACTTCATAGTAATCTGTATCACTCTATATAATTTTGCAGATTATAGAATATCCACAAACTGACAAGTGGAAACACCTAAATACATTCTGAAACTTGCAGACGATACTCATGGACTAATAAATGTGAAAGGATACATTCTAAATCAATTCAAATACTATTCCCTTTAATGATGTCATTAGAGCCACACAGTCTTCTAAGCAAACTGAAAAAATTACTGATGTATGGCAATTAGACCAAGGCATCACCACTATTGTGCTAATAAGTAGCATCTGAAAAACTGTACGGTGCTTGTTTCGCTTTGTTGGATCCTATCATTGCAAGTAATGATTTCTGGGGGGTTAACAATCTGATTTAATAAACCATCAGGTATTACATGGTTTCTTGTCTCCAGCATCTGCTGCAATTATTTCAAAAGGTTAAAACATGAGACCAAGAGCCAAGTCATCATTATCCCAGCAAACTTGTTAAGCAAAACTGATGAGCCATTTCCAGCTGAAAAAACAGCTAAAACCTTTTATACAGGCTACAATAACTGAATAATCACTTCTTACAGCCAACCTTAAAAACATTCATGTGGTATTACTATACCATACTGCAAGATTAATTATAGATGTACAACAGTATAGACATTTATAGGCATCAAAAGGGTCACCAATCATCAAAACAACACACTATTCAGAACTTTTATCTGTCTGATTTTAAGTGGCACACAGTCAAAATTTTATAGATCTTTATCCACTGCATTTTCCCATAAGCCAAAAAGTGTCTCATTTTTTCTTGGTCACTATGATAGTAGTGGCATATTTTCCACATCCCCCATAACAAAAATAGAACTTAACTTTTGATTGACTTAAGAGACAACTGATTTCTTTAGGAAGGATCACACATTGACACTACTCACTAGGCAGCTACTTTTTCTTACAATTAACTTCCCCAAAAACTCAAGGAGAAATGTGGTTATTTTTCCTCTAACAGAAGTCTAATTGGCTGTGAACATATATATTGTACTATAGGTCTTGTGATCTTAGAAGAACTGGTTATCTCACTCTTGCAAGGGTATTTATGACCCTGTAACCCTAAGATGTTATATTGTTATCTCACTGCACAGTGAGACACGCACAAATGATTTTGTGAACAAAATGTCACTGATGAATTCTAACAGTGAATCATTTGCTCCCATGTTTATAAAGCTGAATATTAAGGATGAGGTACCTTTTGCCATTATGTGTTTAGTCTCTAAAGTCTGAAGTGTATTTTCTTACCTCAGCATCTTGAGTTTCCTGATGTAATAAAGTCAGACCTGTTAGATCTTCTAAGAAGGAATGTGAGGAATTAAAAACTTTTGCAAGGAAATTAAACCCTTCTCTTTCATACTGGTCAATGACCTGTGAAGTAAACAGACAGAAAAGGATATAAAGATAACATGTAAAAGGTTTACTATTATTCATTGCTACATATAGACTATGAAATAAAGGGCAAGCTTTTTGCACACCCATACAATTATTGTGCAATGGCTAATGAAGAAAATCACAGTGGGGTAGGGATGAGGAGAAGCATTGACAGTATTACAAACATTTTCATACCATTGCAGAGAATCTTTCATTTCAGAACTACCCATACAAGAAATGCCAGTAAAAAAAGTTGTATTCTCCTTTAAAATCATGCAGGAAAATTTTGCAGATTCTGTAGAACCTGGTGGAAACCTCCATTACGCTTTATTTGTTCTGTTTTGTATGTCGTGTGCAACTGGGACCAAATTTTTAGCCATCGCAACAGAGTGTACATGTCATTCCTTTGACAAGAGTTCTATTTTACATAGGATTTTTAATTTCCTAATGGTATGACTTTTTAATCACATACTAATCAAATACTATATTTCTTCCTATATCTGATATACATACATAGCATATACCATTTCTCTCACATATTTTTTTCCTGTCCATTTTGAAAAGTCCTCCCAATCACCACATCTTAAGTAAAATGCTAAGCACTTTTGGATAAGAAACAAGAGAATGACGCAAAGCTGAAATGTTTAGTAAAAAATTATCCTGTTATGTACTGTTCATATTCCACTTTTCAATGTTTTTGTGGTGAAACAACTGGAAACTGTACTGTTAACTCCTATGAATCACATTCACTCTGCTTCAGAAGGTAGGTAGCTTCCCCTAAAACTGAAGTAGCTCATTCTCCCTGGATTGCAAAAGAAGCTGGAAGTGCTGCAGCTAGTACTCTTTAATAATCACTAAATAGATTCAACTAAGTGAGACTCAGTGTAAGTGATTATATTTTGTTTTATTTTAAATGAAGCATCCATTCAATGCTCCTAGTATATGTACTATTAAAAAAATGTACAACTCAGAAAAGAAGTCCTTCTTGCCCAACCACTTAAAATAAACCAAAATCACCTCTTACCCCTCTTCAATAACTTCATTCTTTTCTAATCCAACCCCTCCCCAAAAGCATAGGAGCACAAACAGGCCTTGCATTGCTGTAGCAGAAATTGTGGGAACTTGCAAAACTGTCAGCATTCATCATTAGAGATGCAGCAAAACATGTCTACAGGGCTTTCCCATACTGTACTCTAGAACTTCCAGCAAACTGCCCCAGGGGAATCTAATAGTTTTCAGCTGACCGCACTATAAGTTTAATTGGCTAAGGAGCCTGGGAGATTGACTCAAATCTTATTGTTAGATGTTCATTTAGCAGCACAAGTAGCTACTGCATACTTAGGTTTCCAAGTATTACAGACAATTATGAAAGAATGAAAAATATTTTATATTAAAGAGGAGAAAAGCTGGTGCAAAAATCAAAGAGTTAAACAGTTCTGGAGGTGGTACTTTTGGAGATGAACTGAAATGGAAATCTCTGAATGCTGACATCAATAATCTCTTAACAGCGTTAATCTGAGGAAGGACAAATAAATGGATACAACAGAATGAAGAATTAAGCTTTTTCTTAAATCAAGCCATACACATTTAAACACTGAGACGTTAATAGCACTATATGTTCTAGTAGGAAATCTGGAGAAACTGTTATTAATACTCCAGAGATGTATTCCATCATACCAGGGGTTTTGTGTTTTCTCTTCAGTGCATAGGTCTGTGTGAGAAGTTAATCTGAGTAAGAAGACAACTGCTTACAAATGTACAAGTATTCCTTTCTTACATAATGATCTTTTCAAAATTCACTCCTTAGAAATCAAAACAACACTATTAGCTAAGTGCTCACAATGTGTACGAAGAGAACTGGGAAATAGACTTCCATTTGAGATGTGCCTTTCTTAACATTATCTAGCATATACTGCAATACCTTTTCAAACTACTCTTTGAATATACATATATATATTTTAATGACTATTCTCCATTCCAAAAGTCTATTAAAAACAACCAGATGTGCAGCAGTTTCTTGCATCTGGCTCTTCGTGAAACACTGCATATAGAAGTCAATTTATAAACTTGAACTGCTTTCAGACATGTAGTCTGCAGAGTTATCATCATTATCCAATATGTGTTGTTATTAATTTACTTTGTTGGAACCACAATACAAAGTTTATATGACATCTCTTTAAAGATATAGGCCAAATTATATTCATGGTATGTAACAGCAACACACAGTCCACTTGCCATAAACTGAAAAATTAGCATTATCCTGAAAAATTAGAAGCATCTCAAATACAAAGCAGATGATAACATAACATATTGGTCCTTGCCCACAGTTAAAATTTGAAGGATGTACACTACTTCTGGATAATCAAATGTCAAGGAAGTGGAAAAAGGTAATACAGGCTCAAGTAACAAAGTATTAATAAAAGTGGCAAAGAGTCCTGTGGCAATATGTCTGTTAGTTTATAAGGTGCCACAGGACTCTTTGCCGCTTTTACAGATCCAGACTAACACAGCTACCCCTCTGATATTAATAAAAGGATACTCTCAAGGGTTAAATCAGTTTTTAAATCATGTGTATTTTCTTTTGTTACTACTAACAACTTGGAAGCTATAAACAAGTAGTTACACATGTCAAATCCCTGTCCCCCTGCTGCTTCCTCTTGCCCTCAGTGAAATACAGCACCAGCCTAATTTCCCTCTCCCAAGTTCTGTTAACTTCTACCCTCCTAAGCCCAGACAACATTAGATCCTAGCCAAATGCCCATCTCCAAAGTTCCCAGGAATTGTGACTCAACTCAGATTTGAACCTTTCCTGCTGCTGCTTCCCTCCTGGGCCCAGTATCATTCCTTCAGCAGCCAGAGTTCTGTATACAAACTGCCCTGCTTTATTTCAAGTATGCCTCTATGCCCTTTTATATTTGCCAGGATAGCTATGCATGAATACTTATGTTTGCATTATGTGCACTTGCAAATGAGCAGCTTGCATGATTGCACTGACATTTTCAGTGCACAGTATTGATTTTCGATGGATGACCTGGAAGTGGAGGAATTTTTTTGTATGTTGTTTTAATGCTTCTTTGTAATGTGATCAGTATGAAAGTTCCAATTAAATGTACTTTTTAAAAAAAGGTCTGTTGATAAAATATGAATATTAATAAAATAAGGTATGTTAATTCATAAAACTATGAGCTTAGGGTATATTATTTTGGGATCTGTTAAACTATAACAGAACCCATTTAAATTGCATACAAATGTTATGCTATTATGACCAAATCTCCTTTTGCTATAAATTGATCTTAAACTTTATTTTTCTAGAGTTGAAACTCAATTCTGTTATACATACACTCTTTCCTGTGAACATGTTGATGGCTTCACATGATCCTACGATGATATATTTAGGTTAGGAAGGCAAATATGACACTACAATGTCAGTGTCTTGAAAATCTATAATATCAACCCTAGACAGACATCGCTACTAGAGCACTCTTCTACAAGCCTTGTGGATGAGAGGGAAGCGGTAGACGTGGTATATCTTAACTTTAGTAAAGCTTTTGGTACTGTCTCGCATAACATTCTCATAAACAAACTAGGGAAATGCAACCTAGATGGAACTACTATAAGGTGAGTGCATAACTGGCTGGAAAACCGTTCCCAGAGAGCAGTTATCAGTGGTTCACAGTCATGCTGGAAGGGCATAACGAGTGGGTTCCCACAGGTATCAGTTCTGGGTCCAGTTCTGTTTAATATCTTCATCAATGATTTAGATAATGGCATAGAGAGTACACTTATAAAGTCTGCGGACAATACCAAGCTGGGAGAGGTTTCAAGTGCTTTGGAGGATAGGACTAAAATTCAAAGTGATCTGGACAAACTAGAGAAATGGTCTGAAGTAAATAAGATGAAATTCAATAAGGAGAAATTCAAAGTACTCCACTTAGGGTACGTCTACAGTATGAAATTATTTCAAAATTATTCTATTCGAATTTTTGGAAGCTATTTTATACATTTGGTCTTCTATGTCCCCACTAAAGTGCGTGAATTCGGCGCAGTGTGTCCATAGTACCAAGGCTAGCATCGAATGTCGGAGCGGTGCACTGTGGGTAGCTATCCCATAGTTCCCGCCACCCACTGGAATTCTGGGTTAAGCTCCCAGTGCATTTTGGGGCAAAAATATTCTCATGGGTGTTTCTGGGTGTCGTCAGTTGCTCCTCCCTTTGTGAAAGCTACGGCAGACAATCGTTTTGCGCCTTTTTGGCGTACAGACGCCATACTGCTTTCAGCAGACGGTGCACCGCTGCTTTCCTGCTACTATGAATCCACTTCTCATTTCCTCTCTACTATCCACTCTTTCTCTTCCTCATCAAACACTTCCGCTGCCAACTCTGCTCGGCCATCGTGAATCGAGCAGCACAGCTTCCGCTGCCAACTCTGGTCTCCCGCTATTGCCACGCTTCCGAGCTTCTCCATGTTGTCTGTCCTGGGCTCCCGCCTCTGTGAAAGCTACAGAAGACAACCATTTCCTGCCTTTTTTCGGCTACCGTGAACCAAACAGCACCTCTTCCACTGCCACTCTGCTCTCCTACATTTCGTGCCCTTTTTCCAGGATTACCCATGCAGATGCCATAGCCATGGAGCCCAGTCAGATCTCCGCTGCAATTTTGACCATTGTAAATACCTTGCACATTATCCAGTAGTATGTGCAGTACCTGCAAAACCGAGCAAGAAAGCAATGACAGCGCGATTACAATAGTGATGAGGACATGGACACAGACGTTCCTAGAAGCACGACATGTGGCGATTGGGAGATCATGGTGGTGTTGGCCCAGATTCATGCCATGGAACAAGGTTTCTGGGCCTGGGAAACAAGCACAGACTGGTGGGACCACATAGTGTTGCAGGTATGGGATGATTCCCAGTGGCTGAGAAACTTTTGTATGTGTAGGGCCACTTTCATGGAACTTTGTGACTTGCTGTCCCCTGCCCTGAAGCGCAGACACCAA